AGCCCGATTCTGCCATTTGTTGGTGCTCCCGGATTTTTTGGAACTGGCTTTATCGGGCCATTGACCACTGGCTTTGCCACTGGTGCTGCCATTGCCGGGACTGCTGGCTTTCCGTTTGTGAACAGCGCAGCAATTGCCACCGGCGCTGCTGTTGCCGGCACCGCTGGTTTCCCGTTTATCAGACGCGATCATTCCACTGGCGAGCATCTGGCCAAGCGCTGTGGCGGCGGCTGGGGCGGTTGCGGCGGAATTGGGTGTGGCCGGGGTGGCTTCCCATTTGCAGCCAACACCGTGAATGCATTTGACCGCGACTTTTACGCTGCCAATTTCAACGACAACACGCTCTTTGTCAATAACCAAAACGCAAATGTAGTCAGCGACAACGTGCATGCACTCAATACCGCCAACGTAATTGCTTGATTTGGCCAAATCCAGGGTGCCAAGAACAAACACTGCAAAACAAGAATAACATTGGCAACAGCAACAGCGACAGAAAACCTTAAAGACATTTGACTGAATCGGGCATTATTATTTTATTGGTTGATTTGAAATATAAGTAATATTTTTCACACTGTTTTGTACGTGGTCAAGTGTTGCTTACAAATAAAAATTGAATTTAAATATTCAGCTCATGGTTTACGTGTCGATACGGCAAAAGAAAAAACGTAAACGTAGCTTTAATTGCTCAACAAATTAATTTGTTGCTATTATATTTCGTAATTTTACGTGGTACCAATAATAAAAAGAGATAGAAAACGGGCAGATGAATCAAAAAGAATGTGGATGAAACACACGTACAAGCAAATTTTGCATTGCATTCAACTATTTATTATTTAAAAAAGGGTTACAAGAATGATTTGTTAGACTGCAAGAAAGAAAGAAAGAAATAAAAATTTGAATATATAAAAGCGACAATGGGCGTCCCGTATTCCAAGAAACCATTATCCTCACATCACTGCTCATTCAGTCTACACTTGCCACTTTAGATTAAATACCAACCACATCAACAAAAAACACAAAAAACATGCCTTGCTTTGTCGCTACTATCACCGTTCTTGCTGCTATTGCTGCCTTTATCGCGCCCGCTGCCAATGCCAGCCCTGTTTCTGCCGGCTATCAGCCCACCAAAAACATTTGCGACAATGGCAAATATTACAACAATGCTCGTCCTTACGGCGCAGAATACAACACCCACGCCTATCCCTACGGCGGAGCAAACAATGCGTACAGCAACTACGGTGGTGCCAATAGCTATGGAAATGTTGGCAACTACGGTGGTGCCAATAGCTATGGAAATGTTGGCAACTACGGTGGCGTTGGCACCTATGGGGGTGTTGGCAGCTACGGAAGCTACGGATCGGGCCTTCCATTTGCGCTCAGCACAGTCAACAAGCTTGACAGCGACTCGTTTGCTGCCAATTACAAGGACAACACAGTTTACGCCAACAACAAGAACGCCAGCGTAAGCAAGGACCAGGTCAGCAAGTTTGACAGCGTCAATGTCATTGCTTGATTGATTAATTGATTGATTGGTATTTTTTGATTATCATCCATATCTCATATTCATCTTTATAGACATATACTTAGACAATTATAGATAGACGCAGAATAAATTGAATCAACAGACATTAAATTTTCTTAAAAAAAAACAAGATAAAAATACAATGCAACCACAACGACGCATTAATTTTCAATATATTTTACCGCATAAAATTATCTTTTTTTGACGATCATCGATATAAAATAAAAAATATTAAAGGTCATCGACAATCACCCTGCTTAATATTTTTTACAGATTGTTTAAATTTGGCTAGACATCTTTTTATCCTGTGGAGGACAGTGGAATTTTGTTCGAAAGAATTTGAGCTGAGAGAATTTAAGGTTAAAAATTTTATGTGCTGAGCGGCATTTTTAAAGCCAAAATTTTGATGTGCGCAATAGCGCATACCTGGAATATTAGACAAAATTGTATTTTTATTTTTGGCCGCAAGACAGCTTCAACAAATGTTTTGCTCGCAATTTAACAAAAATATACAAAATGTTGGGCTCTATCTGTCAATTATATATTGCAAATATTTAATTTACAGCAGGTAAAGCTGCTGCACTTTTAAAAATCAATTCAATCAAAATTATCTTGAATTGCAAATCCAAGCTAGTTTTCCAAAAATGCGACCATGGTATTCCTTTGTGTTTTCGATAAACCGAAATTTATTTATTCCATTTAGTTGCTCAACCACTCCAACAGGCTTTATTTGTACACACCGCCTAGCGACAATGTAAACAAACTTTTCCTTTGCATTGAACATTTGGAGGTAGCATCCTTCCACATTTTTGATGTTTCCAGTTTGTACAAGTATTAAATGTAATGAAATTTAACGTAAAAGTTATTTTGTCACTATCGCCAAAATCTAACTTAAAACTATCTTGCTCAAAAATGTGAACGTTGCAAAACAATGGCCACATCAAACTCAACAAGTTCAGCAGTTTCTGGGGGCGGAAATAATTATAAGCTGCAGCATAAAGGTAAATTTACATTGAAGCTTTGACATTTGAAACAGTAGCTGACAATGTCACCTGACGGTGATGGGGAGCATGTCAGTGCAGTGGTCATGAGAGTGGTCGGTGATGGTAGCCGACAGGAGTACTTGTTTTAATATTTTAAAGCTGTTACCATTGCCCACAAAAATGATGGAATTGATAACCAAGCCGAGTAATTTTAAAACAATATATTTGTCAGTTTAGGCATATGGCGTTTCATGTTGTTATACTGGGATTAATTGATTACGCCCGTGACAATTAATAAATGATAAGATTATAGTTTATTTATGTGCCAAGGAGAGCATATAAGGAATGGCTGCCGGGCAGCCAGCAATTGTCCTCCTTGGAAGAAATAAATATTTTTTTAATTTATACCACTTTGTAACATATTAAATAACTTAAAGAAGACCTGTCTTTGATAGAAATACCAGAAAAACGATTAATTGAATTTTCCGAGAATAATTTAGTTAGCCAAAATATTTAAGGTTTACAATGTTTAATTTGCATAAATAATAAAACAATGTCACATCAATATTAAAGAAGCCGTATAATATTGTTTTAAAATCACTAAGACGCGCTGCGACCCAAATAAGCTAGGCACCTCATTGGGTACTCCTCAATTACAGTTACTGTTGAAAAAACCAAAAGCCTGTGCAACCCAGGATCCAAATCACCATGTATGACCAAAGTGGCCAAAGTCGGATCCTTCTTTTTACACCTTACAACCTCAGCTAACATTCAACCAATCAATCTGTGATACAAGAAATTGCGGCTTGTCTCTGGCGATTGATTCATTAATCAATCGCCAGTTAATTCCCTACTTGGACATGTGGGAATTCATATGCACATATAAATACTAATGAATATGAACAGTGGAGGCTGTTCATCTCTCAGCTTTCTTTTAGTTCATTCAGTTCAAATATATATTTTTAACATAACATCTCCACACAAACAAACTCCCTCCATGGCTGCCCCTCTGACACCTCGCCAACATCCTTCGCCTCCCGATTACACGCCCACCACAGCCGATCGGCTTGATCTTCAGGAAATGTAAAATCATAGGTGAACGGAATGGGGTTGGAGGGAATCAGATACATTTCTTCTAATCGATTGGGTTCAGTTTTTTCGTACGCTGGCGGCGGCGCCTCTTTGTTCCAATGCTCTCTGATCTGCTGCTGCTCTGCTTCCTTGTTGTTCAATAGTACATTGGTGCCTATATCATCTCGAACCAAATCCGGCACCAAAGCATATGGTGCTGCTAGATATGGAGGTATCAACATAGGCTCTGGCGCTGACACTGGTCTAGACTGTGGTCGAGGGTCTGAAGTACACAGTCGACTAAACACAAGTTCAAACCCCTATCTCTCACTTCGACAACTCCACATTAAAGACCCTGTCGCTGTTATCGCACCACCGTCCATTTTGTAAAACTATGCTTTTGATATCGACAACCCCTTAGCCTTTTTCATATACACAGGCCTCCCTATATCAGTATCTATCGCGTGTATTGTGCGGTACAAGAGCTGCGGATATTTCAATATGTATTGTTTGTGGGAAATTGTTTCTAGTGTTTCTTCGTAGCTTGGTAGGTCCTCGGTTTCATCTCGCAAGGGCAGCAGCGATGTATTTTATGGAAAGACATTGTTAGATGAACTGCCCAAATTCATGTTTTTTTTATTTAAAAGAGTAAATATACGAAAATTTAAATTGGAGGTAAGAAAAACGTTGAATTTGTAAACACCAAGAGTACAGAGATGATTACAGCTGTTTTTTGTGTGAGCGCTCCCTGTCATCAAGCCTCGCGTGCCATCAATCAAACAAAATAAAAGTCTAACCAGAAAGATTTAATTAAATTAAGCGGTAGAAAAGCAAAGCTGAATCCACAGCACCATGCTGATATCTCCTGACATTATCGACGTTTCTCCACAGATGCACCACTCATACATAAACAAGCAGAGCACAATTGCCACATTGCCATTTTCGTTCTCAGTTGTGTTTGTCTTTGCAAATATTGAACCTAGTTTCCTATTTTGGTTATTGCGGGAAAATCTAAGGCATTATCTGCAACGTTCGACTGAATTTATTGGCCGATTTGAGTACCAAGCGCCTCTCACGCCCCTTATTGTAATAGCAGGGGATAATCAGAAACAAATGCTTGCTGTTGTTTTTCACCCCCTTTTCAGCCCTGTTTTCTTCGTACTTGTTTTGTTGCAGTTGTGTTGCAGTGTTTTTCTTGGGCCTGATAATTTAAATCGACGAGATGCAAGGCAGATCGTTTGTCATATTGTCGGCTGAGAAGTTGTCGAAAAATATTACAATTTTATGTGACTTGTCCGTATTCCTTCTGTTTAGAACATTTGTGTTTGCATGCTGCACGCAATGGCAACAAGCGAGACTCACAAGCGTATTAATGAATATGTTTTCATTTTCATTTTCATTAGTGGTAATTAAGTGGAAAACTCACTCGCACGCAAGCTGGTGGATATTTTGCAATTCTGCTTGTTTTGGTTATTTTTTCGTTGGTCTTTTTACACTTCTTTTGAAATATAAAACAGGTCTCCATAATTGCATTTCATATATTTACATTTCACAGATGCGCGCACTTCTTAGAAGGTCGCTTGCCTTCTTTTCTGCAATACCAATATCACACACTGGAAGCATAGTGCGATTTGTAGAGATCTATCCTGGCAGGCTTTCTACACCTGTGCGACCTTGATTTTAAAAGCTGTCATGCAGCCATAAAATCTATAAGGCACTAATTGCAGGCGGCAATGCGCTATTTACAGTATAGCTGCACCTAAATATTTCCACCGCCGCTTGTCAGACGCGGCCGATTTAAAATATAAGCATGCAAATGCATAGTTTTATTACTTTATTTGTTATTGTGGGCTTGGATAGAATCAATTTTGGTATCATGCAATAAAATAGGGCAGCGTAATGTTTTCTTATAATAATACGGAAAATGGATTCCGACGTAAATCTCGTTCTTCTCATTTTCATGCATTGTGACAATCATCAAAATGGTGCGCTTTGGGGCTTCAATTAATTGCCATATAATAGATTCGCAACACACATACTTTGCCCAGTTGTTTTTCACTTCCCAAAAAACAGGGACATTTCTTTATTTGCCCAGGATTTCAATGCTGATCTTCAAATAGCGTACCAAACAGAATGTTTTCAATATTTTAATTCAGGTTGAAGGCTCATGGACAATAGATCATCGGTGTCATGTCACCTGCAACAGCAGACAAAGCATTGTAACTATTGCAAACTTGTGCGGAACAGAAAGCGCACTGGTTTGTTACCAAGTGGATAAAGGATTTCAAAAGTGCGCTGCTCAGGGCAATGCGATGACAATTAAGGATAGCAGTTTTCCATAAAGAAAACGATTAATTATGTTTACTCTTCTGTCAACAAACATTTACTCCATGTTTGAAACAAGTTGTCATATATTGCGAGCAAATTATTGGCTTCCTGAAGCGTCCAATATTTCCTTTTTTACTTTTACAACTTCAAAGTATTAATCCCCGTTCCGCCCGTTTCATCCAGTCGGCCTGGCGTTGTCATTTTTGGATATAATGCCACTCACATGCCAGGAAATATACCCATCCAGAGTTTACCATCCACAATCGAATTTTTCTCCAACTTTTTTTTACTGTTGCCCATCTCGTTTATAAGTCATTTTTTATTTTGATCCACTTCTTAATTATCCAGCTCTAATTTTTACATCCTTTTTTTCTACAATGTACAAATCATTCAAAGTGCCCAGCTCCGAAGTGCCTGGCTACTCTGCTACCCACCGCCATCCTGAGTATAAGGACGGCACACAAAATAACAATTATGCCAACATCACAACGGTGTATGAACTTTTCAAGACCGCTGAGACAAACTACCCCAAGGCCGAGTTCCTCGGCACTCGCGAGTTCACACCCAAAACTGGCAAATTTGGTCCTTTCGAGTGGATTTCCACCACTGACGCAGCCGAAATTACTGACGAGTTCGGCGCCGGTCTTGACAACGTTTACGCAAAGTATGCTCCTGAATTAGACGCTTTCACTGGCCAGCAGCCGCTTGGCATTTACTCTGTCAACCGTGCCGAGTGGCTGCTCACTGAGTTAGCTGGCTTCCGGTCACGGCGCTACTCTGTTGGTGTGTGCGACTCGGCCGGTGTTGACTGCGCCGAGTTTATTATCAACCACTCCGGGTTGCAGGTTATCGTTTGCTCGCTCGACAAGATCCCGCGCATGCTTGACCGGATGGCAAACACACCCAAGGTCAAGGTTATCATCTCGATGGACAAGCTGGACTGTTCAAAGCCTAACCTGTCCACACAAGCCTTCACACCCGCAACTGTCGACAAATTGAAAAGCAAAGCCACAGCCCTTGGTCTGGTTCTTTTTGATATGAACCAGGTCATCCAAATGGGCCAGTCTAAGCCGACTCAAGCCACTCTGCCCAAGCCCTCCGATTACTGCACACTCTGCTACTCCTCAGGCACGACAGGGGCACAGAAAGGTGTTCTTACCACACACGGCGGTCTTATTCACGCTGCGCGTTCAGCGCAGCTGACTTTAAAAACTGAAAACACAACATACTTGTCTTTCGTCCCACTTGTGCACTGCCTCGACCGGTACGGCATCTACACCTTTATGTTTGGCTTTATCCAAATTGGGTTCTACTCTGGAGATATGAACAACCTCGTTGACGACATGCAGACTCTGCGTCCAACAATTATTGTTGCTGTCCCGCGGCTGCTCAATCGCATCTATGACCGCATTGCATCGTCAACTATTGGTGCCAAGGGCGCGGTCGGATTCCTATCACGTATGGGATTCAAATCTAAGGTCAAGCGACTCCAGGCCGGCCGCAGCGCCAAGCACGCTCTATGGGACAAGCTTATTTTCAATAAGGTCGCAAATATATTTGGCGGCCGCGTCAAGTTGATGATTTCTGGCGCCGCTACAATTGATCCTAACGTGTTGACGTTTTTCCGCACCAGTTTTTCATGTGATGTCCTTCAGGGCTATGGCCAGACAGAAAACATGGGTTCAACGACATTGTCGCCTCTTGGCGACCCAAGCACCAACCACGTCGGCTTGCCTAACCCCGGCGTTGATGTACGCTTGAGAAGTATTCCCGAGATGGGTTACCAGGTCACCGACACCCCATGCCCGCGTGGCGAGGTAATGGTGCGCAGTGACAGCGTGTTTAAGGGCTACTACCTGGAACCTGATAAGACCGCCGAGGCCATGGACGGCGAGTGGCTTGCCACCGGCGATGTTGCTCGGATTAACCTTGATGGCACCTTCACAATTATCGACCGCATCAAAAATATTGTCAAGACTGCCCAGGGCATGTGGGTGGCGCCAGAGCGTCTCGAGTCTATCTATAACACAAACCCGCTTGTCCAGACTACTTTTGTCCATGGCGATGAGCACGAGCGCAATCTCATTGCCATTGCTGTGCCCGACCCCGTCAGCTTTATTCCCTGGGCACGTGCCCTTGTTTCTCAGCCCAAAGCTGATCTGGCTGACTTGTGCACCAACGAGAAAGTTGCTGTTGCTTTGGCCGAGCAACTAAAGGTACATGGCGCATTGGCTGGCCTCTCGGCGCAGGAGCAGATTTGCGCGGTACACCTGGAACCTACTCCCTTTGAAAACGTTAACATTGGCTTCTACACTTCAACTTTCAAGCTTCGCCGGAGAATAATGATAGTGCACTACAAGAAGGAATTTGAGGCGACATTTGCCAAGCTTGGCACCAACGATGCTGCTGCTGTTGATACCGAGCTCTTTTTGTCCACATAATTATTTTATGGCGGCCACATGTGTAATCTATATTTTATTTGCTAAATGTAAAAATGTCACTTATAATAAAAAGGATATATTAATCTTAAATTTTTAACAATATATAATAAGAAACAATAAATAATTACTATAAACATGCAAAGTATTCAGCAATTATCAATAAAAGGGGGTTACCAAAGGCCTTTGACAAGCGCTCTGTTTAGTAATTTTTAAAGCCAAAATTTTATAAAGTGTGCAATGACATGCCCGAAAAATTAGGCATTTATTTTTGGCTGCAACACAGGTTCAATAATTTTTTACTTGAAAATTAATAAAAAATATACACAATGTTGCGCTCTATCTGTCTATTTTATTTCACAAATAATTAATTTACAGCAGGCAGAGTTGGTGTAATTCAAATGTGAGATTTTCGATGGCTATTAAATACTCAGCTATGTCTGGAGAGTGTAGCATAGAAGCGGGGAATATAACGAATAAGCAGGAGTTGAGTCAGAGGAAGCCAGGTTCAGCAGTATTGTCGACCGAAAGGGACAAGCAACCAATGTCTTGTTGCTGTATATCTAAAATGTCTTATCAGTAACACGGACGCCGTCAATTATACGCACTCGGCTGCGAGGTGACTGCACTAATATACCATGCGCAAAAGAGTTCACTGAAGGTTGAAGCTCAGTGGGTGTGGCAGGCCAGAGCGGAGGGGGCAGAACAGCTTTGCGTATAGTTATTATTGACTCACCAAATAAAACCAATTTCATTGTCAGGAGCCACCTCGCAGATGTCCAATGTGGGGTAATGATGACTGGGCGCAACAGGCGCTCCTGTTTTCTCTCTGCAGCAGCTGTGGGACCAACTTACATGGCTGCAACACAGTGATTGGGAAGATTTGCACCTACGAGTAGTTGAGGCGAAAGAGCTGCAAGTTTGGGCAGGGTCCTTGCCAAGTCCAGCGTAAGAATGTGTACTCCGAGCAATGCGCCAATATCGCTCAATACATTCAGGTTAAATTTCTATTGGCGCAGCAAGACAATGTTGCGTGATGGGCCACCCGCTGGATTCACCTTAGTGGGCACACGAGTGTGTCGCGCGCGTGTCCAAGCATAAGCATTCGTGTCATATCTTCTTGGCAAGGCGCAAAAGAGATAAAAAAGTTTACCTTGACAGCAAAAGTATGAGATCGCAGTGGAGCTGTTGCAAAAAAATATTGCCTACCTCCCTTACTTATTGTGTATTAGTTGATGGTAATCAACCGATTAGCCAGCCTTGGCTATTCCAGCCAAACACACAGTCATCAATAAGCTACACAGTGACCAAACAAAGCAATATGTTCTTCACCTTTTCTAGTGCATAGCATTTATATAAACCCTTTTATACATAGTATTTTATCTCTACATGTTCCCAGAACGTCTCTCCCAGAATTCAATATATATATAGTTAAATTAAATTAAACAAAATCCGCAATAATATTCTAAATATAAATTAGTAAAATACCATAGTCAACAATCAATACATAAACCAACAATACGTAAACCGTTTCAATAAACAATATACAAAACATTGTATTTTAATAATACATATAATTAACATATCGCACATATTTGTTGCACAACCCAAAGATATGGAAGTGGATGTCGAGGTTGAGAATCATGAAACAAGTTTCCATCTGCATACCGGTTGATATGGTACTAATTGGATTATGCAGACGTAAATTAGGGAGGCATAATAATGATGCCCAGACAGGCTCCCCATTTTGCAATGCACACGCGTGAGTGCACACACACAAAAACTACAACACTGACTTGCCAAGATACCGGTCTGCTCGCAGAAGAACCAGTTCTGGGCAACAGAGTGCACAATTGGAAATATGCACAACAAAGGCGACAAAGCACATATATAAGACGAGGCTGGCCCCAGTTCTACTTTTTATTCCCTTAATAATAAAAACTATAACAAAACCCAAATATAACTTTAACACTAGACAACTAGTGCTCTCCTTAAATCACAACAATGTCAGTCCCAGTTTCAGTTCTAGCATCTCAACCTACTTTCTGTAATTAAATAAATTAATATTTTTGGCCAATATGCTTTTGTATTTAACAATACACTTATTTACGCGCTTGGTTTGGTCTTTTTCATGCCTATAAAATTTTGTGTTGCACGCATTGTAGGACAGCAATTTTATTCTGTGGCGTCCTTATAATCTTTTG